TTTCCCTTTCTTCATTTCTTTCCTCCGCACATAAAAAAATTTTTTAAAAAAAAAAAAAAAAAAAAAACAAACGAAAATAACAACAACAGAATCTGGTTCTATTGGTGATGATCGAATGATGATCAGAATCCAGAATCACTCGAATATTGGAATCTGAAAAACGCAAACACACACACAGTGAACAAAAACCAATCAGAATTAGAAATTATTTTGTGTAAAGAAGAAGAAGAAGAAGAAGAAGAATTTGTTTGTAAACCAGAATCCAGAATTATTATAGATTTGATTATTATAATTATAATTGAGAGAGAGAGAGAGAAAAAAGCAAATATAAAGTTAAAGCGATTCTGTTGTTTTTTTCTGATTCGTTTGCGAAAAAAAGATAATATTATTCTGACGACGATCGATTCAACAGAGAAACTTTCATACAAAAAACTGGATTTTTCAACACAAAATATCATCCACGAATTCAAAAATTTCTTCAAAATTTTAAACAAAAAAAATTTTTGTTTACCACTAAAAAAACCGTTAAACGATGTTGAGCAAAACCAAGATCAATTGTTAAATGATAAAGATTTAATGGTAACCAACAAATAGCAAATACAGTAACAACTAATGATAACATTAATATTCTTCTTCGTTTTACTTCTAATTGTCTTCGACGTTTACCAATACGTGTTATTATTGTTGTTGTTGATGATTGTTGTTGTTGTTGCGATTGTTGTTGTTGTTGTTGTTGTGATAAAACAAAAGGATTAATCATTATTGATGATGATTGTGATAATGATTGTTGTGTATTGATTGTTGTTGAATTTGTTGTTGTTGTTGTTGTTATTGATTGTCGTTGTTGTTGTTGTTGTTGTTGTTGTTTTAATCGATCAACAACAACAACATCATCATCATCATCATTCATAATTGTTTGTGTACTTAACATTTCACCGGATGATATTGCTGCTGAATTTTGTTGTTGTTGTTGTTTTTGATTTTTCACATGATGATTTGTAATCGATGCCAAATCAATTTGTGATGATAATGATTTTAAATGAAGAAAATCATGGCTATTTCTA